TAAACTATAGTTTAGTATAAGACTAAACTAAAGTCTAGACTAAACTATAGTTTAAACTATTGACTAAACTATAGTCCAGACTATAGACTGAACTATAGCCTAGACTATAGACTGAACTATAGTGTAGACTAAATTATAGCCTAGACTATAGACTAAACTATAGACTAAACTATAGTCTAGACTATAGACTAAACTATTGCCTAGACTATAGACTATATTTAGACTAAACTATAGTCTAGACTATGTTCTAGACTATAGGCTAAACTATAGTTTAGACTGTAGACCAAACTATAGTTTATACTGGAGACTAAACTATAGTCTAGACTATATTCTAGACTGTATACTAAACTATGTTCTAGACTATAGACTAAACTATAGTTTAGAGTCTAAACTTTAGACTATAGACTAAACTATAGTCCAGACTATAGACTAAACTATAGCCTATACTATACACTAAACTATAGTCTAGACTATATTCCAGGCTATAGACTAAACTATAGTCTAGACCATAGCCTAAAGTATTGTCTAGCCTAGAGCCTAAAATATTGTCTAGACTATAGACTACACTATAGTCTATACTATAGACTGAACTATAGTCTACACTATAAAGTGAACTATAGTCTATACTCTAGACTAAAATATAGTCTAGACTATAGACTAAGCTATGAACTAGACTATAGACAAAACTATAGTCTAGACAATAGAGTAAACTATAGCCTAGACTATAAATTCAGAGTACACTATAAACTAAACTATAGACTTAACTATAATCTAGACTATAGACTAATCTATAGTCTAGACCGTAGACTAAACAATGGTCTATACTATAGACTAAACTATAGTCTATACTATAGACTGAACTATAGTCTGTACTATAGACTAAACTAGAGTCTTGATTACAGACTAAACTAGAGTCTTGATTACAGACTAAACTAGAGTCTAGACTATAGACTAAACTAGAGTCTAGACTATAGACTAAACTATAGTCTAGACCATGAACTAAACTATAGTCTTGACTAGAGACTAAACTATGGTGTAGACTATAGACTAATCTATAGTCTAGACTAGAGACTAAACTATAGACTAGACTATAGACTAAACTATAATTTAAACTATAGACTAATCTATAGTCTAGACTATAGACTAAACTAAAGAGTAGACTATAAACTGAACAGTAGACTAGACTATAGACTGTTGTCCAGACTATAGACTAAACTATAGTCTAGACTATAGACTAAACTATAGTCTAGACCATAGACTAAACTATAGTCTAGACTAAACTATAGTCAAGATTAAACTGTAGTCTATTCTATAGACTATATACTAAACTATAGCATAGACTATAGGCTAAACTGTAGTCTATACTATAGACTAATCTATAGTCTTTATTATAGACTAAATTATATCCTATAATATAGACTAAACTATAGTCTATACTAAACTGTAGTCTATTCTATAGACTATTTACTAAACTATAGTATAGACTATAGGCTAAACTATAGTCTATACTATAGACTAAACTACAATCTAGACTATAGACTAAGCTATAGTCTAGTGTATAGACTAAACTATAGTCTAGTGTATAGACTAAACTATAGTCTAGACCATAGACTAAACTATAGTCTAGACTATAGACTAAACTATTGTCTAGACTTTAAGCTCAACTATAGGCTAGACTATAGACTAAACTAAAGAGTAGACTATAAACTAAACAATAGACCAAACTATAGTCTAGACTATAGACTAAATTATAGTCTATAATATAGACTGTTGTCCAGACTATAGACTAGGCAATAGCCTTTATTATAGACTAATCGATAGCCTATAATATAGACTAAACTATAGTCTAGACTAAACTATTAAACTGTAGTCTATTCTATAGACTTAACTATTGTCGAGACAATAGACTAAACCATAGTCTAGACTATGGACTAAAGTCCAAACTATAATCCGAATTATAAAGTCAAGACTTTAGTTAAATTTGAAGAAGTTTCAATTTACTGAATTTCAGCAACATACGACCTAATGTTCAACTTTATTTCTCAGCATCTTATTTTTCATGTTTACCATTTGCCAGACACATGTTGCCAGCAACATTTATATATTATTTTTTTCTATAACAAATTTGACATTGAAAACATGTCTCAATTACATTTTATTTTTCAGGAAAATTTTCTATGCAGAATCCTGACATCTAAGTTTGAACAAACGTTTACATTTTTTTAAACAAGTCCAAGACAACATGTTTATAAACACATGTCCAAAAATAACCTAGATTTTGTTCCAGCAATTCAATTGAAATAATTAACCAACAAAATATGTATGTTTTTTTCATTTTTTTTTTACATAAAAACTTTTTATTAAAATATATCATAATATCAATCACTACATAATTTTTTACAACGATTTGGAGATTTTTGTCCATAAAAGCTGTCTATCAGACATCGGGCTTATAGGAAAGAGAGGGGGGGGGATTATACTACTCCGACCCATTGAAACACTTTCAGCTCCCGCTAGGCTTTGGCACGTTGGACCAATGACCAGAAAAACTTGGACAGGAAAAACACGCTATAAATACTCAATATTATGACGGACTCTTCTAAACCATTGGCGCCAGAAGCTGCAGTTGTGGCATCACCTTCTACCATTTTTATTATTTATAGATTTGTTGCTTGAAAAGATGTTAAACCGTTTTTTATTTGAAATGAAAAGTTTTTTTTTTCAATAAAAAAAAAATATAATAAAACACAACCGAGCGCCGTTTATAAATTGCTACGAATAAAAATATATTCAAAGTGAATGAAAATATTTGAAAGCAAATAATTGAAAGCCAACTAGATTTGATAAAAAAAATATAAATAAATTGTTTTTTTTTCAGGAGTAGTTTGAGAGAAACAAAAATTAAACCTTTAAAGGCGCAAAGCTTTATATAAAGAACTTCTACGGATACATCCCTTTTCTGTTTGCCTTCTACATGACAACATGAAACCCCATTAGAAGAAAGCGTAACATTTAAGAGACATTTTCAAGACCCTAAAAACAAGCAAATTTTTTTCAAGTTTTTCATACAAGTACAAGCGTTGGAAAAGCTTTAAAGTTTGGTTGCAGTTAAAAAAAAAAGCATTTACTTAGTAACTAGTTTTTAGCCAACATTTGTTTTTACTTAAAGTTAAAGACAAAAATCTTTTAGGACACAAAGCTTTTGTTTCAGTTAAGCTGTTCAATATAATTATATTTTACCTTATACCGGTTATTTACGTTCATAAGAGCTTTAAATGCTACTTAAGCTTTAAAGCTCCAGGCAAAAGCATTCTCTAAACATGACAATTTAAGGTTTTTTCGATGATAAACTTAAGCTTAGTTAACTTAATTTTAGCTTTAAATGAAATATATCGTTACAATTGTTATGATCAGTTAGATTTAAACCATAAAAAGCTCTAAGACAGGTTTCCAAAACTTAATAAAAAGTTTTTTCCTGAGAACTTAGAGAAATGATGTTGGTTTTGGTTTGAAAGAAGGTTTCAATAAAGCTTTAGAAAAAACTTTTAAAGGAGCTTTCAATCAAAACTTTTGAAAACTATTTAAACAATGCTGTTAATGAAGTTTTTGATAAAAGCTTTCTATAAAGCTTTTCAAATAGCCTTTTGAATAAAGCTTCCAATTAGAAAGCTTTTGAACAAAGCTTACAATAAAAATTTTCATCAAAGCTTTAAATAAAACTTTTGAACAAAGTTTTTAATAAAGCTTTTGAACAAAGTTTTTAATAAAGCTTTTGAACAAAGCTTTTAATAAAGATTTTAAACAAAGCTTTTGAATAAACTTTTGAACAAAGCTTTCAATAAAGCTTTTGAATAAACTTTGGAACTAAGCTTTTCATAAAGATTTTGAACAAAGCTTTCAATAAAGCTCTTTGACAAATCTTTGAATAAAACTTTTGGATAAATTTTTCAATAAGCGTTTAAAAAAGTTTTCAATAAAGCTTTAGAACAAAGCTACCAATAAAGTTTCTCAACAAAGCTTTCAATATGGCTTTTGTAAAAGCTTTTTAAAAAATTATAAAACAAAGTCTTTCGGGAGTTATGAAACTGATTCTCAAAAAGCTCTATTATTTCTATTGTTTTATAATCTTTAGTCGAGATTTAAATCTTTTTTGACAAAAGAATCTTCTGTAGAGCTTTTCAAGCTTTTATAGCAAAAAAAACCCCTTTCAAAGCATTTGGTATAAAAGTAGCAGTTTTGGTTAAAAAAGACTTCCAGGATCTTTAAACACAAAAGAAGCTTTTGTTATAAAAACGCTTTAAAGAGCTTTGGGACAGAGCTCTGGAAAAAGGGGCTTTTAAAAGTTTTAATCACAAAAACGCTTTAAAGAATTTTTGTGTTTGTAGGAGTATTTTTTTTTTTAGAAAAGCTTTTACGAGCTTTTGCATCACAAAAGCTTTTGAGAGCTTTTATACCCAAAAGCGTTTAAATCGTTTATACCAAGATAATTTCGAGAGCTTTTGATGCAGAAAAGCTTTCCAGAGCTTTTGATGCAAAAGAACTTTTAAGAGCTTTTGATGCAGAAAAGCTTTTAAGAGCTTTTGATGCAAAAAAGCTTTCAAGAGCTATTGATGCAAAAAAAGCTTTCAAGAGCTTTTGATGCAAAAGAGCTTTTAAGAACTTCTGATACAAAAAGCTTTTGATACAAAAAAGCTTTTAAGAACTTTTGATGCAAAAAAGCTTTCAAGAGCTTTTGATGTAAAAAAAGCTTTCAAGAGCTTTTGTTGCAAAAAAGCTTTCAAGAGCTTTTATTGCAAAAAAGCTTTCTAGAGCTTTTATAGCAAAAAAGCTTTCAAAAGCTTTCATACCAAAAATTTTTTCCTGTAACGTTTTTCACATACAAACGTAACGATATATTCCAACTAGACATAATTTTGCTTACAACTAGAATTACATACAACATGCATTATTATCTCTTATAAATTTAAGACATACATAATTTTGGAAGCCAAACTACTAACCTTAATGCTATCATAACAAGCGGTGACTTTGCCATTTTGAACTTCAACATTTGCTGGCGGATGGGCAAATTTACATTCAGTATCTTGGCGGGAGCATTTATTTCTTTGAAATTCCCGACATACTTCTAGCTGGAGCCAACGTGAATCTTTGCCATTTAAAAGGCTGGTCATATTAACCATAGCAGCCATTTTTTTATATTATATTGATTATATAATTATTATTAATATTTGTTAAATTAATTAATTTTACACTAGCGTATTTGATTTTGATGATTAAAAACAAATAATAGATATTTTGTAAACTTTTTTTTTTCAAAAAAAAAAAAAAAAATTAATTATAGAAAATTATTATTACACCAAAAAAAAATTAAAGCTGCCAACTGACAGAGGCCGTAGGGCGGAGCGGGATCAACAAAAATATATTATAATGCAAAACAATTTTTATTTAATACACACACACAAACACGCACTCGCTGTCAGCTTAAGGGGGATGTTGATGATGGTGGTGGTGGTGGAGGGAAGGGGATTTGATTTTGATATTTTAAAGATGTTTATATTTTTTTTTCTTGATTTTCGGTTGCTTTAAATGAATTGATTTCTTTAGAAATTTTTGTTTTTATTTGTAAATATTTCAGTTGCCAAATTAGTTATTATGACAAGTTTCAAAATTTGTTGTTGTTTTTTTTTCTCTCTCAATGACGTTTCTTTACTTGCAGGGTTGCAGGCAATAGTAGTAGATTTTCAAAACCATTAGCTTCTAGAGTTTTCAAATTAAAATTGATTTTTTTCGTTCTCTTTTATTTTATAGCGAAATTCCAAAATGACTAGAATTTTTGTGTGATGAAAAGTATTAGGCGGATAACTTTTTCTTTTTAACGGTTTGTATGCTTTTTATTTAAGAAGGATTTCGGATTGTAATGATTGTGGGATTTTACCGAGTAGCGAGGTTTATAGTTGTAGAAGGAAGCGGTTTACAACTTAAAATTTATTTTAAAGGGAAATTTCTATTTAGCATTTCAAGCAGCAGCTTTTTTTTAAAAATATTCTTTTAATTTTTGTTGTTTTTTTAATTAAAAACTTATAGAAAAAGCAGCAGGTTGTATTTTCAAAAAACTAATTTATTTCTTCACTTTTTTTGTAATTTTTTTTTTTTTCAATATTTATTTAAGGAATTTTCTCAGCGGTTGGTTTTGTAGCTTTTAAGTTAAACAAATTTAAAAATTACAGGCATTGTTGTTGTGGTACAGAGAGGGGGGCTTTTTGTTGTTGTTGTAAGTAAGATCTGTAAAGAGAAATAAAGATATATAGAAACAATTAATAATAAAAACTTTTAATATTTAAAATATTTATACAACAAAAATGAAATTTATTATAAATTTGAGTCTTTGGTTCAGAAAATAATTTTTAAATTTTGTAGCATACTTTAGGGATCAAAATAAGTAGTATGCTTTTAGGCTTGTCCTATTTTTTAATACAAAAGGATTCTGAAGAAATTGTGTTAATAATTCCATTTATTTAAACAATCTTTATCCAACTTTTTTTTCATAAAACTAAGCTACCACATCTGTCCCCATTTTCCCCTTTTCAGCTTTGAATATGCCACATTAAAACTTCCCAAAATGCCAACAATATTTTTATATAATTTAATAACATTATTACTATACTACACCAACAAATCTAAAATGTAAATTGTGATCTAATTCTTAAAAAAAACATGAAATATTTTATTAATTAATTGAGTACAAATGAATTTTGAGAATTTTTAGCAAAATATTAGCAACAACAATAACTAAGCAAATAATCTAATTTTTACAAGAAATAAAGCTAGCAGAGAGTAAATAAAAATAATAAAAACATTTAACGATCAAATGAGTTTATGAGTTCTTTAAGAAAAACAAAACAAAAAAAAATAAAAAAAAACATTAAAATTTTGTTGTTTTTAATGTACAATAATAATAATAATAATTTTTATTTGTTGAAGGGGCATTAAATTTAGTTTATTCAGTTACAATTTGCCTTGGCTAATTTGTGACGTAATTAGAAAATTAAATGTTTTTTTCTAAAAGCTAAAAATAGTTTTGCAAGAAATTTTATATTAAAATAATTAATGCAAAAAATTGTCAATAAATTTATGTAAAACAGAACTAGAACAGAACTAGAACAGAACTAGAACAGAACTAGAACAGAACTAGAACATAACTAGAACATAACTAGAACAGAACTAGAACAGAACTAGAACAGAACTAGAACAGAACTAGAACAGAACTAGAACATAACTAGAACAGAACTAGAACAGAACTAGAACAGAACTAGAACAGATCTAGAACAGAACTAGAACAGAACTAGAACAGAACTAGAACAGAACTAGACAGAACTAGAACGAACTAGAACAGAACTAGAACAGAACTAGAACAGAACTAGAACAGAACTAGAACAGAACTAGAACAGAACTAGAACAGAACTAGAACAGAACTAGAACAGAACTAGAACAGAACTAGAACAGAACTAGAACAGAACTAGAACAGAACTAGAACAGAACTAGAACAGAACTAGAACAGAACTAGAACAGAACTAGAACAGAACTAGAACAGAACTAGAACAGAACTAGAACAGAACTAGAACAGAACTAGAACAGAACTAGAACAGAACTAGAACAGAACTAGAACAGAACTAGAACAGAACTAGAACAGAACTAGAACAGAACTAGAACAGAACTAGAACAGAACTAGAACAGAACTAGAACAGAACTAGAACAGAACTAGAACAGAACTAGAACTGAACTAGAACTGAACTTGAACTGAACTAGAACTGAACTAGTACTGAACTAGTACTGAACTAGAACTAGAACAGAACTAGAACAGAACTAGAACAGAACTAGAACAGAACTAGAACAGAACTAGAAAGAACTAGAACAGAACTAGAACAGAACTAGAACAGAACTAGAACAGAACTAGAAACAGAACTAGAACAGAACTAGAACAGAACTAGAACAGAACTAGAACAGAACTAGAACAGGACTAGAACAGAACAAGAACAGAACTAGAACAGAACTAGAACAGAACTAGAACAGAACTAGAACAGAACTAGAACAGAACTAGAACAGAACTAGAACAGAACTAGAACAGAACTAGAACAGAACTAGAACAGAACTAGAACAGAACTAGAACAGAACTAGAACAGAACTAGAACAGAACTAGAACAGAACTAGAACAGAACTAGAACAGAACTAGAACAGAACTAGAACAGAACTAGAACAGAACTAGAACAGAACTAAACAGAACTAGAACAGAACTAGAACAGAACTAGAACAGAACTAGAACAGAACTAGAACAGAACTAGAACAGAACTAGAACAGAACTAGAACAGAACTAGAACAGAACTAGAACAGAACTAGAACAGAACTAGAACAGAACTAGAACAGAACTAGAACAGAACTAGAACAGAACTAGAACAGAACTAGAACAGAACTAGAACAGAACTAGAACAGAACTAGAACATGAACTAGAACAGAACTAGAACAGAACTAGAACAGAACTAGAACAGAACTAGAACAGAACTAGAACAGAACTAGAACAGAACTAGAACAGAACTAGAACAGAACTAGAACAGAACAGAATTAGAACAGAACTAGAACAGAACTAGAAACAGAACTAGAACAGAACTAGAACAGAACTAGAACAGAACTAGAACAGAACTAGAACAGAACTAGAACAGAACTAGAACAGAACTAGAACCAGAACTAGAACAGAACTAGACAGAACTAGAACAGAACTAGAACAGAACTAGAACAGAACTAGAACAGAACTAGAACAGAACTAGAACAGAACTAGAACAGAACTAGAACAGAACTAGAACAGAACTAGAACAGAACTAGAACAGAACTAGAACAGAACTAGAACAGAACTAGAACAGAACTAGAACAGAACTAGAACAGAACTAGAACAGAACTAGAACAGAACTAGAACAGAACTAGAACAGAACTAGAACAGAACTAGAACAGAACTAGAATAGAACTAGAACTGAACAAGAGCTAAACTAAAGCTGAACTGAGCTACAACTGAACTAGAACTGAATTAGAACTAAACTAGAACTGAATTAGAACTAAACTTGAATTGTGCTAGAACTAAACTAGATTTGATTTATAAAAGGGATATATTGCTCATTAGTAGGAAACCGATCTTAAACACTTTAGCATAAGATGACTGACTATATTTGCTAAAGAGAAGAAGTTATTTGTCATACAACAAATATTGATTAAATTTTACATTGTTCGTTGGGTTATCAATGTCACACAAGTAGATCTCGGTGTATAAAGAAGTGTATTTAAGCGCGTGTGTATGTTTGCTATATAGCTTTAAGGTATTTTTTTTTTTTTTTTTTAATTTTTGTGTTTTTGTTTTAACTTTAGATTAAAGCAATTTTGTATATATTTTTTTGTTTTGGGCAGTTAACGATTAAAGAAGACCTTGTAAACCGGTTTCATTAAATAATTTTATAACAAAGTATTTGATATGATGTATCCATCTTGAGTTTTTTTTTTGTCTTAAAGTTCCTCAAATTATTATGGTTGATAATTTTTTTGGTTTAAATCGATTGTCATAAAATTTATAATATTTGTTATATAAGATTTTGGGTTTAAAATTAAAATTTCAAATAATAATTTCTTTTTGTTTTTAGGTCTCGTTTATGAATTTTTTAGTTTTTTTCGTTTTTATGACTTTATGCGCTGTTTTTCTTAATTTTTGTTGTTTTGATATTTTCAAAACATGTGCAGACTAAAAATAATTTTCGTTAAGAAAAATATAAAAATTTTTATACATATGTTGGTCTGTATATATAATTTTTTTTTTTTTTTTTTTGAAAAACCAAATGCTAAATTTATAGATGATGTTTTTGTTAGCCGCCTGCTTGGCTTTGTTGTTTATATTTCGTTGAAGGCATTAGCAAAAACGTAAATTTCTTTTTAATATTTTTATTTTATAATCTTGTATATAAAGAAATTTTGTTTCTTTTTTTTCTGAGATGCTTTTCAAAATGTCTGTTTTGTAATAGAAATAAACATTTGCTAGAAAATTTAATTTCAAAAATTTTCAATTGCTTTTTTGTTAATTAGTAAATTTTGGGAAAAAATTTGTTTTCTAAAAAGCTTGCTGGGTTTTAATTTATTTAAATTTTTAACTAAATTGATTAATATTTTGTAAGAAAAAATGTTAAAGGTCAGCATAACATACAAATTATAAACAAATCATGCCATTTTGAAATTAGCTATGAATCGTTTTATAATGATATACAAATTATAAAAAGGAAGTGGTAATTTTAAAATGAATTAACACATTCGTGAACGAAAGATTAAGAACATTTCACAAAATAACTATAACAAGCTAGTGCTTACTAAATTACTGCTAAGTAATCCAAACGGTAATTAATACAACATTGAAAAATCTAAACCAAACTACAATTTCAATATTCTTCACTTAACAAAACCATTATAATTCTAGTAATTTTTAACCGTTTTAAGTCATTAAGGCCTTATTCTTTGCACAATACTGTAGAATTTCACAATATCATATACATTTACAAACACTTTAAACAAAATTTTAAATTTATTGTTCTTCAAAGTCAAAATTTTTAAAAAAAATAATAATATAAATAACCAAATCAGTGGCCGGCATTTTAAGTCCTTGGGTCACGACTATATACAACTTTTTCAATGCCTTATGATGTTATGTTTTAAGAACTTAAGTTAAACTATAAATTTAAAATTTAAATTTGAACCAACTTTTTTTTCAAAATCTAGACCAAACTATACATCAAAATACAGATAATGTTTATATTTTCCTAGCATCGAAAAATCATCACAACTTTGTCAGTTTTAACACGATTTTAGTTATTAAGCACTCGTTTTATTCTCAAAACTTTCGAATTATAGAATATTTATTCAAATTATAAGCATTTCTAACAAAATTTTTAAACTATGGGCCGACAAATTTGAACATTTTTTTAAAAAATATTCAAATATGAAAAAATCAACAATTACTCTATTTCGAAAAAGTTGCACAACTTGGTCAGTTTTTGTTCGATTTTGAAAATTAATAGCTCATTTTATTCCTATTAAATCAGAATTTATATATATTTCAGTGCAATGTCAAACAAAATGTTTATATAAATGAACTTCAAAACTGAAAATTCTTAAAATAAAACAACTAAAGCAGTGGTCGGCATTACACAACTTTGTTATTTTTGCTTCGATTTCATTAAGTTATAGCTTATTTTATTCCTAAT